CAGAAGTTAAATACTCGGGTGTTTGTTTGAAATGATCCATTTATGTTTGGACGTTCATCAGAATTCAAGGAATCACTGATGGGTGTGTCTTCCATCTGACAGAGTTCCCAAGTGTTATGAAATGTTGTGTTTCCACAGATGGTCCATCTCATTCAGTAGCAAACTGAATGAAATGTTGATTGTGAGACAAATGCTGAATGAATGAATGAATGAATATACAGTGCACATTTGTTATGTTTAGAGATTAGAAGCAAGATAAATAATCTTAATAATAATAATCTTTATTTAGTATGTGGAACAAAGTAGCCAACGATGGCAGGAAAAATTAATCCTAACATTTCATAGCATTATACATTTTGACAGTCATTTGACAGTTTTTGTAGGATTCTTTGAGTCTTTATCCACATTTTTCATCGTTTTCTTTTTCTTTACTTTCTTGAATTTGGCTTTAGCTTTAACCTCTGACTGCTTGGCATTAAGATAAGGCCTGGATAAGGTCAGGTGGTTAGCAGTGGGGCTTAGCTTGCTGTGAGCCATCTCTGGATCGGAGCGTGAACCCTGGGCGGAGTTGGAGTTGCCAGGAGCAGAGCAAGGGGAATCATCCAGCAGGTTTGGCTGGGAGTAGGAACGCATAGCTGGGGAACTGCTGGGTCGGTAAGGCGTGGTGCCTCCTAACATGGGTAGGTGGACGTGCTCATTGCTCAGATTAGTGACAGAATAGCGACTGCTGTTGGACATGACAATGTGGTGCCAAGAACTTAGAGGGGTGGCAGAGAAGTGCTGAGGGCCACTTGAATCCTCTTTTGCACCTCCTGGAGAGATGACCATGGAGCTGCGAGGCGTTACTGCCTCCACAGCGCTCTGGAAGGTCTTTAGGATGCGGTCACTCTTCTGCTTCTCTTTCTTCTGACGGGACTCAACCTTCCTCAGCTGGCGGCGGTGATCCCTCATCATCTGTTTCCTTGTATCTGCCAGTCCCCTGCACAGAAGCATCAGATAAACCTCTTGGAGCCAAACCTTAGTTGCAACCATTTCACTACATGCTCCTCTCTGTGCCATACACAAACATCATTTTTTTTCCAATGTCATTTTTGAAGGCGTCATACAAGATGAACATCTGGACAAATTCCCAGCTCATAACTAAAACACACTTGGTTCAAATATACCATAATTTAAACAATGATTTAACAAGTTGTTGAATATTTCTTAGGTGTCTTAATTGATGTAACAGGGAAAAGTAAGACAGGTCTAGCTTAGAGTAATTTAGCTGACCCATAAGTGTTGACATTATAGCTTTAGATATTTCTCACACGTACTTGTCCTCGTCAAGAAGACAGCAATAGACTGATTAGCTAGAGACAGTAGCTCAGATGTCAGGCTAGCAGATATCAGTGTTCTCTGGGAATCTTACAAGGTTGAGTCCTACAAGAATGTTTACAAGAACTCACTGGCTCCACAGATTAGAGTACAACTCTTGGATAGTGAGAGATTCCAATATGACGAAGCATAGGTGACCTAATAGAGAAACCTACCGGCACTAAGGGGAAGACAGAAACATAAAAGGGACCACAAGATGTTATCCTTCAGATTTGGTGTTGGCATTTGATGTGTTCACATGTTGTATGCTGGCACTGTGTCTCCTCGGCCGGGCTCAATAAACCATGCTATGTTAAGTCTTCATCAGTCTCCAAAACTTCTTCACACCTGACAGCTGGCTCACAATAATTCTCAGCACAAGTGATTGTAAAAATTCACCGGAATACCACACAGCAATAAATCTTACAGGTACCTTACACACCACATTACAGGTCTACTCTGTGAAGCAATTTAGAAAGCCCAGCTGTGAGTATGATCAACAGTATGAGACACGCTCACCTGTAGTCTACCATTCCTGTCCCGTCACGGTCAAGTCTCTGAATCAGCTCTTCGATCTGGTATCGATCCAAAGGAATACTCGATTGCTATCATGGTTTCACAGAACAGAAGGAAAAAATCAGTCTAGACTGTAAGAGAGCTCTTCACGCATGATTTGCTGAGGACAATTTCATTGTGTCCTGTCGGAAATTTATCAGCGCAATGCTTCCTGCAAATGTCACTGACTCTGCACAGTTCTATATATATTAATTTATTTGGAAACCTGCACCGCCTTCCTGAAGTCAGCAACAGGGACTTGCATGGTTCCATCTTTGTCAATGTTCCGGAAGAAGTCCCACAGGCGTAGCTTGCGTTGATCCAAATAATCCTTAAAAAACATTGGGAGAAGACCTTTTGACAATTTAACCATTCATTTCATATTTTTAGGTTATTCTCATTAGGTGACCACACAGACCTGGATGACTTTCATTGGATCCACACGTTTTGGTGGCTTCTTAGCAATGAAGCCTCCTACACCTCCATACTGTACGTCCAGACCGGGATGCTCTTGACATGTCATCTCCAGCATATGCACAAAGGTCTCATTTACCAGCACATTCTGCTCAGTAAAAAGAAAAATAATGATACACATACAGACAAGATGGTATACGCAGGACACAGGGTATTTATTCATTGTGCTTAATTTTTCAGTGTTTGAATGCTGATCAAACGATTTAACAGAACAATCAGATCAGGACGTGAGAAGGTGCCACAGTAACTCACACATATGTTGATCTCCTCCAAAGCAGTTTTAGGTGTGTTCTTCACCACATTAACCAGGGCCAGTGCTCCCTCTACTGTTAAAGAGTTGTAAGCCAGCTACAGGAGTGTAAGAGAATTAAACGTAACTATAAAATGTACCTGTGCCAAACTAATGATGTGTGTTAGCTCAATACAACCTCATCCACCCACCATCAGGACTCGGAGTGTATCATTGAACTCAAGACCCCGGCACAGCATGCCAACGCCCTCATTGGTGAGGCGGTTGTTGTTGAGGTTGAGGTGCACCAGGGTGTTGTTGAATTTTAAGGCCTCCCCCATGGCCAGGGCGCCCTCATTCCCAAAACCATTCCATGATAAGTCAAGGTATTTTAACATCGTATTCACCTAAATATGGAGAATGTGTTCAGATATTGTATACCAAGTCAGTGATAAAATGAGTTTTTTCCACAGCCATACCTTGAGTCCTGCACAAAAAGCCACAGCCCCTTTCATTCTCAGATGGTTCCAGCTAAGATCCAGCACCTCAAGACCCTCATTGCTTGCTGCGGAAATGGAAGTAATCAGAGAAAAATATGTTATTTAATTTTTATTGGTAGGGTATTACATTCAAGGGAAGCAATGTATTTGGTCACATCTATAAAGACGAGTGAATTTGACCATACCCAACAGTTGTCCCAAATGTTCCCCTCCTTTTCCACAAAACTCATTATGGCTCAGGTATAGTTCCTTTATTCTGGAATTGGTCTAAACAACAACATGCAACATGAGTATTGTAAAAGTAACAAAACAACCTACCATTACTTAATAACAAACCAAAATTAAAATGTGTTTGGATAACTGATTATTAACCACTTACAGACAAGGAATCTGCAAAATATTTAGCATCACCATCACTAAAGCCATTTCCTGTTGGGACAAAATATGACATGTTTAAATATACAAAATAAGTATACTGATAAATAAAAATAATACTCATATTACTATTCTTGTTCAATTCACTGATGGGGAGCACAGGGTCAACCCTGACAGTCACCATTACCTGAAAGTTTCATAGATTTTAATGAAATGTTGTCCAGTAATATTTTAGCCACATATTCAGCTCCTGCAGACTGCAGATAGTTGTTGGATAAATCCTGAAAGCAAAACGGATGCAGGTCCAGCATGCTGTTAATTCAGCATAAACAGTAAAAGTCAAGTAAAATGTCAGCTGAAAAGCACTTGTGCCCTCTAGTGGTAGGTTCGTACATACCAGGTGCTGAATGGTGAAATTAGCCCTCAACATCTCCACAACGTATTTGGCCCCTTCGGCTTGAATGTGATTGTCTGCCAGTTCCAGTGTGTTGATATGCATATCAGACTAAATACAAATAGGTTATCAGAAAATTACTATTTTAAAAAGTCACACTCATTTACACACTGAGTTGCATTTTAAACTTACCACTAAAGCAATAGCAAGTGCCTTGCACCCCAGAGGTCCTAGCCCATGGTGGCTGAGGGTCATGGTTGTTGAGTCAAGGTTTCGTATAAAGTAGGATACTGGCACCACACCCACCATCTTGCAGGCCTGGAGGTACACTTCAGCTGTAGACGTCTCCTTTTTGCTCTCTTCTTTTTCTGGTAATGAGTAAGCCCCATAGAGTTTGAGTACCACTGTATGAGCCCCATACAGTAATAAATGTATGCTTCACAAAAACACATTGTCAAACAAGCCATTTATTTGCATTGTTTTTGGAATTTTTTAATGTTTTTACATCAGGAGTATAGATTAAAAGTTCAAATTTACACCAAAATGCCTAAATACTGTATTAATCCAAGACTGAATTTAATGTACTTACCATCCGACTCCAAGTCTGTGTCAAACTCATACTCCATGCCGTGGGGTTGAGTTGGGGATGGGCAATCATCATCTTTTAAGCAGAGGGACTCAAAAGACAGTGTCGACATTACTGTCTGCTGTCAAGTCCTGTTTGAAACCATGTCCCAGACACAAAGAGAATACAGTCTTCAGGGTTATTTGTTCATTTATTCCCGTGTGCTCTGTATGGGCACTGTGAAATTAAGATGGCCGTTGCAGTCCAGCAGGTAATTCTACCCCTCAGGTAATGTGTCATGTGTAGTGACATTAACAATTAATGCCTCAATGTGGTTACAATCCTATGTTTTTAGCAAGTCCAAGCAAAACTGTAAGCATACCATTGTGTATGAATTGATGTGGTTTAAAGTAAAATAGCATTTTATTGGATGTTGTCCATTTCATACTATCTTATTTTATAGAATGCTATTTTTTTTTTAATTGTCAAAAAACCAAAACACATGTATGAGGACTTGACCCCTAACCTCTCCACCTCGCCACCACAACCCCAAAACGCGCATGCGCAGACTTTAGTCAAAAAACATGATTGGCAGTCTGTTATTTTACGCGCTGTACCCGCTGTCACGGTACCTGAGCAGTCGACCCTCAGGTAAATATTGCAAAGGTGTTTGCGTTATGTCCGTGTTTCAAAGTGTCAGGGTCGGCGGTGTGTGCGTGTTTACTGGAGTGGCTGTAAGGAGTTGACGTTAAATTTAGGTCGCTGCTGTGTGGCAGCAGTTTGTCTTGACACTTGAGCTCAATGTGAGACGTTACTTGTGGTTCTCCAGTGCGAGGTAATATTCTCTTACGCTAGCTGGTGGAAAACATAGACTGTATATAAAAAGGTGGAAACGTGTGTTAGCTCGAACTTGTTAGGGTGGTTCCTAATGCCGCATTACAGGCTGCTCGGAACTGGATAATGTCCGATTTTTTATTTTATTTTTTTAATTTATATTTTTTTTAAATGTCCGAGTGTAAATCTCCGACTTTCAACCTCAAAGCGTTCCAGGTGCATGACGCCGAAAGTTTTCATGACAACAATGGACTGAAGTGGTAATCCTCAAAAGACAATGTTGTAAATAATAACGTTAACTTCTTCGTAATGTTTTCAAATGTTTTGGCGTTTGTAACAACATATATATATATATATATATATATATATATATATATATATATATATATATATAATTATAGAGAAGATGATTTTGAGAGATTCTTTACTTTAATCAGCTAACTAAAAACATTGACAAAACTTTTCTACATCAATTTACATGGAGAACAGGTTTTACCATATGAAAGCATGAATTGTTTTAATTTAAATACATGGAAATATGCTGCCCTTTAGTTTATGTTATTGGATGGGAGCTGCAATTGTTGTAGGACGTAATTCAGCTGCTATTCGTGAAGTCGGGGTACATCTTCAGTTCACGAATAGGATACTGACTTCAAGTGGCGTTCCACGATAGCTTTTCTAGTTGCAGGTCAGAAATTTCCCAGTTGCCTGGAACGCAGCATAAGCCTGCAGTTTTTATACGTCCCCCATGACGTCACGACTTCACCACGTGTGACTGAGTGTTTTATGTTCAGCAAGACGGAGTTATGTGGCGTTTATCACTGGTTGTCATTTATATGACAAAATGAATGAAACAAGCTAAAGAGCTGAGTTATGTTTTGCTTAGTATGAAAGCAGCTCTGTTTTCTGACATTAATCTTGTCTTATAGAGGCCTCAAAGAAGGATTTCTCTCCTGCAGTGGTTAATGGCAGGGCAGTGTGGGATGGTGACGCTGTCACAACGAGAAGGTTCACCCAGTTTCGGAAAACCCTGCTGGACCAGTGGCTCAGCCCAAACAGTGGGACGAAGGAAAGGATGAAAGAACCAAGACCAGAAAAGAAAGACGATACCAGGCCTGACACAGACAATGAACAGCTGACAGGTGTCCTGCATGAAGAAACAAAGAATGATGCTGCTTCAGAGATGAGTGAGGTGCAACCTGCAGGGAAGGAGACAAAAGCAAAGACAAGAGATGGACAGCAACAAGACAAAGTGGACGCCCCCAAGCAAGAGGACGGGGAAATGACAATTCCCCACGAGGTGTTCGTTATGAAGCAAAACAAAGAGGATGGAATTATTTTTCCAACAGAGGACATTAGTCCAGAGCAAGCACTTAGGGCACAGTTAGAGAACATGCAAATGGAGGACAGCACTCAAGAAACCACCTATCCAGTGCAGGAAAAAGTAATGATGTCCAGCTTGGAAGAGTCACTATCTCCAGCTGAGCCCAGCATACAAGAAACGACCTGTCCTATACAAGAACAAATACCATGCATGGAAGAGTCAATGGCTCCAGCTAAAACTACAGCTGAAGTAACTGAGTGCTGGGATGAATATGTAGGTCCCACTGCTGGTGAAATACATGGCGGGGAAAGCAGTTCTGAGCTGATATTTGCCTCTGTTCTTTCTAACACTCAAATCCACCTTAAACTCAGCGAACAGGATGATACACAAACTGGCTGGCACTTTCCTGCAGGACTTGGCCTGGCAGAAGAAGTGCAGTGCCCACTGTGGCAGTTTCCTGCAGTGAGTTATTACCCTCCAATAGAGCCAACAGTGCCATTTGAAGGTGAGAATTTGATATTTTGCTTTACAGTTTTATTTTTGATGTTCTCAATTGTATTATTTCCACTGTAGTAAGATTTGTCTAAACTCACCAGAAGTTCAATATCCAGCTGTTAATTTTCACGTTCGTATGTATGTGTGTTTTTTCCACCCAGTAATGTGGAGAGTATGGGAGGAGGTGCATGAGAATGCTACTGCAGCAGAGCCTGCCCAGATACTCCTGCCATTCGCAAAGGCTTCGATGGACTTCACTGTTATGTCCTATAACATCCTGGCCATGGACCTACTAGAGGCCAACCAAGAGCTGTACACACACTGCCCCCTGGAAGTACTGGACTGGAGCTATCGCTACAGTCTGATCGTAGAGGAAATACTTAAATGGGCACCAGATGTCAGTCAAGGGCCAGCTGATTCAAAATATATTGTTTTATTTTTTGTTTGTTTGTTCAGAAATGCTAATAAAATATATTTTAATTCAAATTTGTAGGTATCCACTAATGAGCTGTGTGTGTCCTCTTGTGTGTAGATTCTGTGTCTCCAAGAGGTTCAGGAGAACCACTACCATGAACAGCTGTATCCAGTCCTGTCTCAGATGGGTAGGTCATCTGAGACAACACAATGGAACAATCATGTGGAAGGATATTAATGACAAAGACATTACATATATTGTCTTCATGTTGTCGCTCCAGGCTACACCTGTGTGTACAAGCGGCGTACAGGGACCAAGACAGACGGCTGTGCTACTTGCTTTCGTAGCAGTTGCTTCTCTGTCGTATCAGTCACCCCGCTGGAGTTCTTCAGGCCTGAGACGGAGCTGCTGGACCGGCACAATGTGGGCATCGTTTTGTTGCTTCGGCCAGTGGTCTCACAGGGGTCAATGGTCAAGGCGAAGGGCCCACCCCTATGTGTGGCCAACACCCACCTGCTCTTCAACCCCAGGAGGGGTGATGTGAAACTGGCTCAGCTAGCCATAATGCTAGCAGAAATTGACTGCGTGGTCAAGTCCTGTAAGGCCAAAGGCGAACACTGTAACCTTATAATGTGTGGGGACTTCAATGCTGTCCCACACATGCCTCTGTACCAGCTGATCACCACCGGGGAGCTCTACTTCCAGGGTCTACCAGCCTGGATGGTGAGACTAAAACACAGCAAAGACCAAATGAGTATAATCAATGCCTGGAAAATATCTAGCTTCGCCCTCATGAATCACCTCTTTAATCATGTGTGTATTCACCAACAGATATCAGGCCAAGAGGACCTGTCACACAAAACCCATTGTCACAGACTGTTTGCCCCCCTGTGGCCCAGCTGTCTGGGAATCACTGACAACTGCCAGTATGTGACTGTCAAGGAGAGATTTCAGAACCAGAACCAGAAACCAGGTCAGTGTTTGAAGTTGTAGCCTGCTTTGTAACTTCTGTTGTTTTTGTAATCTTGATCCAAGGAGTGAGGTTCAGTCTTTTGTGTGTCATTTCCTCTCTCACTTCACTTCCTATCTTTCTATTTGTTCTTCTTGTGTAGGGAAATGTCAGTTCAGCCATGACTTCCTGCTCCAGCTGCGCTTCTGTCCAGCTGCATGTGTCCGTCCTCTGGACTTGGAGCTGATACCAGGCGTGACTGACAACACACCAGGTACAGTCTTGCAATACAAAAAAACATCACTTACTGTTGTTCTACCAATTTCGTAACCTGATTTTATTACCGTAATGTTTTGAATATCTGGGTCTTCTTTCATTTCACGCACAGATGCTTCAAGGGGAAATCAGCCTTATGATAAAAGGTCAGTTTGCCTTCATACACATACAGACGGGCAGTAGGTGACTTATTAGCAAAAACACCAAAATGAATCCCCCTGCTTGGATCTATAATCGAGAATATACACTATAAATGCTCAATTCTATACTATATTGTATCCTATATAGTCTGTAGTATAGTGTCACCTTCATGGTCAAAGCAACAGTATTAATGTGTATTTGTTGGGTATTCCTATAGGGCCATCCCCCCTGTTAAAAATGAACAAATCATCTGTACACGGGACACATTTAAAGGAAAAACCTGAATATAAGAGTAGAGAAACCTCTTAAATGCAGATGCTTCCATACACCAGGACTCACTGAATGCTTTGCGTATGAAAATGAATAAAATGCTACAGCCTTTACAGTCACCAGATGGCAACACAGTTTATCACCCATGGAAGATTTTGGACCAACATGTTTAGACAGTGCTCTCCACCACCATCTCCATAAGACCAAGTGATATATGATAAACTTAATATTCAGATCTATTTAGTGATGTGAATGTCTCCGATGCTAAAAGTCTTGTTACATCTGACTTTGTTTATTTTTCGTTCTATCTGCTGTAGTCAGGTCTCTCTTGCAAAGGAGATCTCAGATCTCAGTGAGATTACCTGATTCTTCTGTCTTGATTCTTCTATCTCATCATCTCAGTTTAATCATTCAGCCATTTCGCAGAGTAGATGTGTGATGTGCAAAACAACAAGATATAAAAAGGGGGAGTAAAGGCTCAAATAGGTGGACTTGAGATTTGAGTTTAGTCATACATTTTGTATCACAGGTTCAGGCACACGATCAGTCATCAGTTAGACCTGGAGTCGGTGTACAAACACGTTCTTCCAGGCTCCAGCAATCCAGAAGTCACAACCCTGAACTCTGAATTGGGAGCTACTGTTGACTACATCTTCTACACTCCAAGGCGGATCTTAACCATTGATCAAAAAGGTTATGAGAACATGACACAAAAGACAGTGTTACAGCTCGAATTAATTTGCTATTGTAGATAACTTATTTGTTATTGTTTTTTTTTTTCTTAGCTTGTGGTCACTTTGCGAGTGAGGGTCTGAAGCTGATTGGTTCTCTCTCCCTCCTATCAGAGGATGTCTTATGGTCAATGAGGGGCATTCCCAATCACATTTTCCCCTCTGACCATCTCAGTCTTCTGGCCAAGTTCCAGGTGGACCTTACTGCTGCATGATGGGAAAAACCAGGTGAACTCAGAGATGTCAGAGGATAAGCATATTTCCATTTAAATGATTCAGGTGCTTGCTGTGTACAAATTAGATTTTTGTTTTTGTTAGTATGGATATCTTTGCTTGTGGTTCACTCCTGGCTTTAAAAGGATCCTAGTTTTTTGTTCAGCTATGACTCAGATGTGACCAGTCTTAGTTAATGGTGCTATAATAGCTCATTTAAACAATGAAGGTAGCAATTGCTTTAATTCTTACTGGTGTGATAATACACTGACCTGTTCAATTTGTTGTTGACAGCTGCTATCACTTTTTAATTTATTTTAAGAAGTAAATCTGATTTTCGGATGAGAATTAGATTGGATATAATGAGTCAGTACCTACCCCCCCCAGATGGTCAAAATAAATATTTTCAATTCATTTGTGTGTCCTTCGTGATTGTTGCTCCTTAACATATTACAGAAAGCTCAAAGTCTGGCTCCGGTCAACAGAATTTCAATTCAATTCAATTCAATTTTATTTATATAGCGCCAAATCACAACAACAGTTATCTCACAGCGCTTTTCATAAAAGAGCAGGTCTAGACCGTACTCTGTGATGATATTTACAGAAGCCCAACAGTTCCCACCAAGAGCAAGCACTAGGCGACAGAGGCAAGGAAAAACTTCCTTTTAAGAGGCAGAAACCTCGAGCAGAACCATGGCTCAGGGTGGGCAGCCATCTGCCTCGACCGGTTGGGGGTGAAGGAGAGAGAGAGGGAGAGAGAGAGAGAGAGAGGAATAGAGAGAAAAAGAGAGGGATGTAAGGAGAGAGAGAGGGGAGGGAGGCAGCCTACACAATATACACACAGAGGTACAGACAGTGAAGGTGATGTTGCTATAGACTAAATGAAAAATGGTACAGATATTTATAATAGTGTTAATGGTAACAATCGTAATGTTAATGATTATAATAACAATAATAACAATAAGACTAGCAACAATAGTCGTTGCAGCAGAGGGTGTCGAGCAGGAACACGGGGGCAGCAGGTGACCTGCAACCACAGATCCAGACTCCACAGCTCTAGAGCCAGAAAACCTGCAGGAAGTGATAGGAGGAGAGAGATGAGAAAGCACAAGACTACCAGAAAGGGGAGAAGTTGTGTTAGTAACATGCAATAATGGGATGAGGTTGCATACAGAGGGAGAGAAAGTAGAGGAGAGAGGAGCTCAGTGCATCATGGGAAATCCCCCGGCAGTCTAGGCCTATAGCAGCATAACTAAGGGATGGTTCAGGACTCACCTGAGCCAGCCCTAACTATAAGCTTTATCAAAGAGGAAAGTCTTAAGCCTACTCTTAAATGTGGAGATGGTGTCTGCCTCCTGAACCCAAACTGGAACCTGGTTCCACAGGAGAGGAGCTTGATAGCTGAACGCTCTGGCTCCTAGTCTACTTTTGGAGACTCTAGGAACCACAAGTAACCCTGCATTCTGGGAGCGCAGTGCTCTGGTGGGGTAGTAAGGTACTATGAGCTCTTTAAGATAAGATGGTGCCTGACCATTAAGAGCTTTGTAGGTAAGAAGAATGATTTTAAATTCTATTCTGGATTTTACTGGAAGCCAATGCAAAGAAGCTAAAACAGGAGAAATGTGATCTCTTTTCCTGGTTCCTGTCAGAACATGTGCTGCAGCATTCTGGATCAGCTGAAGAGTCTTAATGGACTTTTTCGAGCAGCCTGATAATAAGGAATTGCAGTAATCCAGCCTAGAAGTAACAAATGCATGGACTAGTTTTTCTGCATCATTTTTAGACAGGATGTTCCTGATTTTCGCAATATTACGTAGGTGAAAAAAGGCGGTCCTTGAAATTTGCTTAATGTGAGACTTAAACGACATGTCCTGATCAAAGATAACTCACAGTGGGGCTGGAGGCCAGGGCGATGCCATCAAGGGAAACTATATCTTTAGATAATGCGTCACGGAGGTGCTTAGGCCCCAGAGCAATAACTTCAGTTTTATCTGAGTTTAACATGAGAAAATTACAGGTCATCCAGGTTTTAACATCCTGAAGGCACATTTGAAGTTTAGCTAACTGATGAGTTTCATCTGGCTTGATCGATAGATATAACTGAGTATCATCTGCATAACAATGAAAGCTTATGGAATGTTTCCTGATAATATTGCCTAAAGGAAGCATATATAAAGTGAAGGGGATTGGTCCGAGGACAGATCCTTGAGGAACTCCATGACTAACTTTGGCATGCATGGAGGACTCATCGTTAACATGTACAAACTGAAATCAATCTGATAAATAGGACTTAATTTGTGCTCTTTCCCGGATTTACAATGCAGCTCAGTTAGGTGCATCTACCAGCACTAAATCTTCCAGTTGGTGTCTGGCTCCCTGTGTATCCTGCCTTTTCTAGCACTGCAATTGTGACCTGAATGTTGGTTCTGCCCCTTCCGTCGGGCTACACCGAGGCACCCAGTTTGTAAGGGCGAAGATGTCTGCGTGTGCTTGGGTGATGCATGAATGAATAATTCATTTAGATAGTTGAGTGTTCATGCATGATGGGGCTCAGTAAGAGAGCTTTGTGTTATGTGTGGCCTACAGAATGTCTGCAAAGGTGATTACCATCAGTAGTATGTCTTTCACTCACTCCTCACTCATTCTTGTCTGTGTGCTGTGTAAATAGATTTTCCATACCATCCAATCATCCACCAGTTAAACAATGATTAGAAGAAGAGGATTGTGTGTGTCTTTAGTAAATGAAGTAGGCCCACCCTCCTAAAAATAGGTCATAATTCCTTCTGTTTCTCTTTCTTACAAACACTGGTGGACAAGGTGTTTGACATCTGGAACCCACTGGAAGGAAGGATCGGGATTTGTTTATCTTTATCACAACTTCTATCTGATTCACCAAGGCAACTGCCTCAACAAACCCTTGTTTCAAGGAGTTCACTTGCACAAATCACACACATGTGGTTTCACAGTAGTACATTCTAACAGTATTTTACCTCAAAGGTACATAAGAGTATTGGCCTACATGTCCAAGTGGTTCCTTGGTTTTCATGGAACACCGCTGTCATTGAGGCGTCTTTGCTAATTGCTGTGCTGAAAGGGGGACTTTCATCAATCTACTTGGTGAGACATTAGACTGCAGGATCATGCAGCATACATGCTGCCAGCATTCTACAGCTATTTTTATGACTGCAGCAAACACACCGGCGACACCTAAACAATATTATGAATGGAATAAAAATGCAATCCTTTGTATAAACCCAACGGTTAGTGTTAAGAGATCTCCCGAGTGTGCTCTCGTCATCATTTGCATTGGTGCCAAAAGCTTCCCTTCAACTTAGGGACACAATGTGCTAAGTTTGAACTATTGGCTGACAGAAAACTGGCGCCATTCCTTGCCTGACATCCAGCCTTCCTGACAACTAATTACAGTATACGTACTGATTAACCACTGAATTCCTGGCCTTTTTTCAACATACCTTGCCCTTATTTAAGCATTAATTAAATACATAAAGAAAACCCTATTAACACAAATAACGAATAAGACAAAATTGTGTTGCCACAATCAAAGTGAGCCTTTATTGTGATCCTATAAATCAACAGTCTTTTGGTACAAAAACAGATCACTGAAATGAATATGGACAACACCTACTGTACACATAAAAATGTTGGTTGTGGCAACATATTCAAAACAGTGTATGGTATATTAAGTGGTCTACTGCTGACCACAAACACTGATGGAAGTATCAAATGATAGAATTTCCATTAAAAAAAATACAAAATGCAGATAAAAGTCATACCACTTAAGGCAAGTGAAATATTTGAAACAGTTGCTACAAAGAAAAGTTATAAACAATGTATATATAAAGCAGTTATACAGTACATGTAAACTGACTTTTCGTTACTTTCCGTCTACATTAAATGCAGATGAGGTTAGTCACATTGATAATTGTATTGGTTTATGGGAAAGGTTTTATATTTAACAGCCAGAAGATCTCAGACTCCTGTTTCTCATATTATCACTCGACCGGAGCCTTCATACTTGTACATATACTTTTGTATAGTGTCTACTCAATCCTATATTCAGTCAACATCTTAATAAGGTAAATACCATGCTAAACATGCTAGCATCTGGATATTAGATTTCACAAAACTGTCTCACACAATTTATTTAATTCATTTGCAGTATTTTGGAAGAGCAGCAATTCCACTGCTTTGTGTTTAGCTAGGTAATGAGAAGAATGGGTTGTATATTTAATAAAAAACAAAAAGTATTTTAGTTCTCTTTGAATTTTCATACAAGGCACAAGGGTAATGGTTTGCAAACTAGTCACTAAACAAGCAGTTGCTGGCCAGCAGAGCCTAAGTGGGTTTAAAATGACGTTACATGTAGTTGCACACTTACAGTACGACGATACAGATTGCAGACAAGCCATAAGAGCTTTTGTTGATAACACCACAGAAACCTATGATATGGCCAGTAGCACATTTACACTGAGTGGTGATCTTGCCCAGAGTTGGGGAAGAGTCATATTTTTCATTGTGTTGAGTTAGCAAAAGAGTGGTTTAAAAATGTTTACAAAGTGCTGCACTTTTCACCCCTCTTTATAATTTGGGAACATTGCCAGCACCAATTAGTATCCACAGTACAGCTCCGGAAAATGTCTCTGACAACACAGACATAGGGAAGCTGAATGAGGCATTTGTTTGCTGGTGACCTATTCCACATTGCATCCTGTGAGTAGGCCAATGTGTACAAAGAATTAAGCCTCGAAAAAATCTGTGGCCCCATGGAACAAGCGTGTGTGGCACCCTGTAACTTAACGAGCAAAGTACAATTCTTCCTCAGACTCGAATCTGGTATCCGTTCATGTCTGCAGATGATTTTTGCTCCACAGTCTTCTTGTCTCCAGAGGGACTGCAACAAAACAAGCACAAAAATATGAGACATTCACATAAGAAGGAAACTGTGACTAATTCATAAACTACATATCCTTTGACAAAGATCACCAGACTTCTGTAGTCAGAATATCTTAGGTGGCTGTAGTGCATGTATCTTTTCATGAAGGACCGAATTATCTGGAGCACATGATTAGTCATACCGTCTCTCAACACGGCTGATCCTGCGTATGGGGCTGCTTGGTCCTCTGAGGGGTGAACCCATGCTGTTTCTCCTGTCTTTGGTGGGAGAGGGTGGCGCAGGCTTTCCTATCTGCAATTCACGCATATGAACATCTTCATCAAAATTTCAGTACCTTTGAAACACCGCATACCGGTGAGTTAACTATGCTTATGTCCTCGCTGTGCAGGGAGAGGCTAAGTTTCTGTGGCTGAAAATCCCCCTGTATTTTAAATGTGATTGTACAGAGCGCCCGCTGTAAAAGATCACTTATTGATGGATTGAGCCAGCCATGCATGAAGCACAGCAGAGCAGAGTCAAGCCATCGCATTAGTTTTATTAAACACAGGGCTCTGCATCAAGGCCGCCTCTATTATGTTAGCATGAGAGGTGATGAGAGAGCGTCGTTTGAGAGAAATCGCTCCTCAAATAGCAGGTCAGCTCAGTGTCACTGTGCATGGAGACACAGCTCATCAAAGGAAATCTAATAAGCAGTTAGTAAGGGCAGTCCCCTCTCATCATTGTCTTTAGTGCTGCAAGAGCTCCATCAGCTTGTACTCTACTGGTGTCAGCAGCAAAGTGAGCATTTGAATGAAAAAATTTATGTTTATTTAGAAGCAGTAAGAAATGTAAAGCAAACGCTAAACATGCAAAAAGTATCTGCTTTATGTTTAGATAGCAATTTAAGTGTTTTCAGCTGTGCTGTACCTTCAGCCTCATGTCTCTGGTGTGTCTCTCCAGCTCCTTCCGCAGCTCCTCCTTGGTCAACTTGTCCACGTCTAGTATCGAGTGTTTCCATTCTATCTGCTCCACACTGTGAGGGTCGTGGGACACGTACTGGCCGATCCTGACCTTGCGTAGGGTGTGCCAGTTGCCCCTGTAGGCTCCTTCAAATTCTTGCACCAGGTCCATCAGTGTCCGGAACTCCAGGTGCTTGAACATGAGGTCCTCCCTCCGGCTGATGCCCAGTGCGCCGAAGCGTCCCCCACTGTGAACTCCCAGCACAATGTGGTGGAAGTTGTTCCCTGAGAACTGAGAATGGAAGCTGAGGGGGAAGCGCTCCACACCCGGCATGTTGTTGGTGAGGTAACTGTAGGAAAGTGGGTCAAGGCAATGGACATTTAATCTGTGACTCAAAATCTGTGAGCAAAATTTGAAAAAGACAACATACAGTAAGTTTGCCAAAAAACACATCACGAAACCACGTCTGGTCAGTGCACGCATGTGAAAACATGGAGTACTGTGCCAAAGTTTTAGGCAGGTGTGGGGAAAATGCTGTGATGTAACACTGCTTTAAAAAATATTTTATTACATGTTATTACACTATTGTTATAAATTAACAAAATGCTAATTGAGTGAACAGAAGAAAAATGTGATCAATATTTCTTCTAGTTACACATAGTTTTTGAACAAACTTGGCAGTTAGGTTGGCCCAAACATCTTGGAGAACTACCCACAGTTCTTATGTGGATGTAGGCAGCTTCAGTAGCTTCCCTTTCTTCATGTAATCCCAGACACACTCAGTGATGTTGAGATCAGGGCTCTGTGGGGGCCGTGCCATCACTTCCAGTACTCCTTGTTCTTTTTTATGCTGACGATAGTTCTCAACGACTTCCACTGTATGTTTGTGATCACTGTCATGCTGCAGAATAAATTTGGAGACAATCAGCAACCCAGTCCCTGTGTTTCTGTGCATAGTTTAATCGCTTTAATCGTTTCCATGTCGGAGGCTTTTTGGCTTTGTCTTCCATGACGACCATTTCTAACCGGACCACTGGACAGTAGATGGGTGTACCAGGGGCCTGTTGTTTTCTGCCAGTTCTCAGCTGATGGCACTGCTGGATATCTTCTGATTGCAAAGGGAAGTAAGCATGATGTGTCTTTCTGCTGCAGCAGTAAATGTCTTGAGTCGACCACCTCGCTTTTCTTTGTGCTTCTTCCAAAGAGCTTGGACAGCACATCTGCAAACCCCTGTCTGCCTTGACATCTCTGCCTGGGAGAGACCTTGCTGATGCAGTCTAACTATCTTGTGTCTTGTTTCTGTGCTCAGTCTTGCCATGGTGTTTGACTTTTGACAGTAAACTGTCTTCAACAGCCTCACCTTGTTAGCTAAGTTTGTCTGTTCTTCACCCAGTTCCTCCTACACAGCTGTTTCTGTTTCAGTTAATGATTGTGTTTCAACCTACATATTGAATTGGTGATAATTAGCACCTGTTTGGTGTAATTGTGTAATCATACACCTGATGATATGCCTACAAAATCCCAGACTTTTTGCAAGTGTACCTAGAAGCATTTTGTTAATTTATAAATATGAAAACATTCTTACTTTATAGCATTTTCCCGCATCTGACTGAAACCTCTGCACAGTACTGTACAACAATACAACATGAAGATATCAGGCATATAAAGCATCATGCAACATGATCTGCTGCTGTAAAGATACATCCCCAGGATCACCGCCTCCAGGCATTTGATTGGCAGAGCCTCCCGTGTCATCTCTTTGGCAATGTCCATCAACCTGAACAAGAGAGTAACACTTTTACTGGTTATCTGTGATACATAACACTAGTACACTACTGAGTTCGCTACAAATGGCACGAGCATGCTGTTATTGATTCCATGCAGGGAAACAAAAACATTTTCCATGAGCCAAGGAAATAAAATTTGCACTACTAAATCTAATAAAGCGAGGTCAGGGAAATTGTGTTTCAGTCCTCTGCTGCTTTACGTTTGTCTCAACTCAAAAAGCCCTAGGGTAGATACAGCTTATCCACATGCATCAGGCATTAGCAGCACAGGCTAAACTAGAAGAAATGGCTGAGTCTATCACTGATAATCAGTCTTAGGAGAAAATAGAGATGTGCTTACGCGGTAAGAGGCCGGCTCTTCTTAATTTCAAAAAACTGTGTTCCCGTGTGATTGTACCTGTACGACACAGTTAAGGTCATACCATGACGTAGCAATGTGAAAGTGCTTTGGAGGAATACTCTGCTGCCTGCAGTGGCGAGGAGAGACAAACACTTAAAGTGCTTTGTGATATTCATGGATTGTGGATTAATTATGGATGAATTTCTGCTCTGTGTGGAAGTCAAGCTTAATATAGAATATACTATCTACAGTGGCCTACTTTCTAATGTTGCCCCATATCTAACAAAGTGTGCCAAAAACAGTGTGTCAGTGGGATTAATAAAAGGTAGTTTGTAAGCAAATACTTACATCTTACATCCATTTGAGTGAGATTAGTGTGTAAAATATCTTTTCTGACCATAAATGACAAATGATCAAAAACATTTAAACACACTTGACTCGATAATCACTGTTTTTATACCCACGTGGTACTACTACCCAGCCAGTTGTACCAGTTCAGTCAAAGGATACTGCAATTCCCTGATGTATTTCTGTATGGCTTCTAGGCGCTGTGGGATAGTGGTGGTAGGTTGGTATGTAGGCACACTCGGCATTGGAATCTGTGGGACAGAGCATCCAAATAACTGCATTACCATTCAACAATCCCAATATTCATAGCAGCTGGAGAATGCAGCCTTGTGCGATTCAGCAAAAATAAGGGAAATATCTTAATTGCTCTTAAACAATGCTCAAGACTGAAAGGTACCATTCTTCTGTGTCTAAAACATCTGTAGCTTGCAAATGAACTGTGCAGGACAGACTGGACAACACATGCCTTGTACTTCACTACTGTGATAAAATTGGAATGAGCAAAAATAATGATTTTGTGGAGTATTTATGGTTGATTTAGTGGCACATGTCTTTCTGTTTTTCTATCAGTAATGTGGGACTAGTAACACTAACTCAACATGTTTCCACAACACATGGGTGTAAATTGCTTCTCCACCAGTCACTCCTGTCATGTATAATCAGGTGTAGCTTTACATATCCAACGCTTTACCTTGGGCAGGTCAGTGGCACGCCGGATCTCTTTCTCCAAAGCTTCACCGTTGGGGTGTATTCGAGCCACATGGCGCCACATCCTCTCCCAAGTCTCCTCATCCACGGGGAGGCCTCCTCTGTTCACATAGAAAGGCACCCCTCCATCCCTCAGTTCTTCTTCCCCTTCATCCTCCTGCTCCTCATCTCTCTCCTGCACTGAGCTTGCAGTGGGCCTCAGCATCCCTCCTCCACCAGGTAGCCAACTGAGTCCAGGCACAGAAACGTCCTGACTGATGCCTTGGACCTTTTGCCAGTTAATCAGCTTGCAGGTTTAAGTAGGTTCCCACAACAGATGGCACACTCATGACATCCAACAGCTTGTGCCACCAATATCTCAAATACAAGTCACTGCAGTGGTGTCTTAAATTTAATGTGGATCTCTCACATATGTTGTTGAAGCAGCTGGAGTTGCACCAGGGGTTTCCAGTTGAAGTTCAATAATAAAATCCTCTTTTTGAAAAAAAGAATGACTTTGCAGTAACTTCTCCACACTTTGGTTAAATTTAGAGGCTATAGGCCATTGGATGTAATACATACAACAAATTCGTCTAAATAAATAAATAAATTAAGACACTAGGGTAATTTAGCATTTGGATGTGAATCCTATTTTAATAACGATACTGTGGAAGTTGATCAACAAGCAAACACAAGCCCGCCAATGTAACGCTACTGTCTGTAAGAGGATTGACTCTGCAGACAACAAAGTATTAGAAATTACTAATTCCTTGTACCGTTAAAGGTCATTCACATCACATACATCCTACAAATCACTGCTGCTGTTCAATCCCATCACCGCGACACTCCTCAAACGTCCGGTTCATCTTCGTTTCAAATGATTTCCTTCCAAGTCAGCCGGTTCATTGTTCATGCAGATGCTCCTGGGTTCAGCGACTGCGGTTTGGATTCACGTCCAACGAGCCGCTCAGACACTCCCAGATCTCCGTCTACTGCGCATGCGCTCTGTTTAGCGGATGATCTCAGCCGTCACAACTGCTGCATTCAGGAGCTCTCCGAAAGGAGTTAATCTGAGGTCCACTTGTCTTTTCACATGCCTTTATTTACTAACGGTGCCAAAAACGCACCATTTTGGGGTTACATTTCAGTTTACTAATCCAACAGTATTGTGTTTGGTGGAGTGGTGAAAGGATGAAGAAAATTTATTTTAGACATTTCTTAAAGATAAGATGGCAGCTACAAGGCAGTGAAAACAGACATCCTACATTTGAGCTTTATTTATTTATTTTTTTATACATGAGATATCAAAATATTTTTATTACCATCAATTGAAATTACAACAGTTGACTTAGTTAGATTAATTTGTCCAGTTAATACTTTTGTTACTAACATTTACATTGACCTCTTCCCTACGTTTTCTATTATACAGGTCACTTAACAGCATTGTAGCAGCAAGCAATAAAACACATTTCCACTGTAATTAAAGACCTAAAAATAGGATTATTAAGAAGCCATCAACAAATGTGTAAAATATGAACCTAGAATGTATTTAGTTTATCTTCCCCATAATAAAGTTAACAGCTCTATACAGCAAACACGCCTCTACACATTTGGGGTGTTGGGAAAAACTGGAGACTTAAGACATGTGTTGCAACAATTAATTTATTCGTGTAACAAAAATAACAAAACTCAAAGTAATTAGCAGTTGGATCAAAACACACACACACACACACACACCGCATCCTCACCTAATCAAACTTCAAAACCTCACAATATTTATGATATACATAAAAGGAAAATAATATTCAACAGGAAACTTCAGTCTATTTACAGGTCTAGTTCTTTTGTAGAAATATTAAAACCTTGGAGCACCATAGTCATCAGGCATCCGTTCAATATTGTACCTGTATGACAAGAACAGAAGAAAGTTCAACATCTCTCAATATGATTCTCCTATTCTTCATACTGTGCTTTTGATGAAGCTGAGTCCAGAATATAAGTTTAGGCAAAAAAACACAAACACAAAAAAAACAAACATAAAAACTAAATTTATAAGTGTTACCTGTGGTTTGAGATATACATGATGGGAACCCCAGGAATCTTCCTCACCCTTCTCTTTAGATCTCTGTCCACAGTGGCCAGGATGTAACACTTGTGCTGTGGAAATAAATGTCATACATTTACCCACTATTGTTATGTTGCTAGTAGCAACCACAACTGGCAGATTTTTAAAGTGCAAGTTTAACTGACATTGTTACATCCAGCCTTTTGTTACCACTGTGACTGAGCAAATATTAACAAGCATTTCTGATCTACTACTATCCAAATGTCCTTGTTGGTTCAGTATATACGCAAGTACTATTTATTGCAGCTGTTTTGTGATTGCTGATATTTGATTTGTTAATTTTTTTATTTTTTTTTGCAGTTTACTGCTAATCAAGCTAGTTATTTTACTAGCTGTCTGAGGTTAATGTGTTGCAAATACAAATCTAAGTAACTGTTAGTTCTCTAGATTTTGTACCAATTTATTTTTACAATCCCTTTGGTTTAACTTTATTATTTTTACAATTGTGTGCATGTGTCTCAACACATTTCTGGACAACCTCTGTTTGTATGAAAATATGTTTTCAGGAGATTTATGGAGAAACATGTAAAAACTATATTGCTATAGGGACAGTTTTTACAATGCACGTCTGTATACCTACTTTGTTAAAAAAACAAAAAACAACAACAACATACATTTCACATAAGGACAAGAAATTTATTGTACCAGATTAGCTACTAGCGAATTTCCATCTGCTGTCCCTCTCTCACAATGCATGCTATAGACCTTTTTTCACAGCAGACATTTTGACTTGTCGCAGAAGGAAAGGCATAGATGAATTTATTTTTCTCAGTTCCATCAAGTGTCCAAGTAGGCTATGACAGTGAGCCAGCATGCACAATACCAGGACCCTGAAACTAGCTCACTTAATCGAATGCAGTCATTGTAAATGTTATCATTTACACCTAAACCTTTCCTGCCATAACAGGCAAAAATGTATTTTGCTCAACATTGTCTGTTCATCATGAAGTGAACACTGACATTCTGTTACATGTATGTATAAAAATAACTGTACATTAAAGCATCTTACCTGTGTTACTCGTTGGACTAAACAGTCATCGGCATATGTTCCCTTGTGCGAGCACGGCAGGCGCTCAAACCTTGGATCCTTTGCTATTCTGCAAAAACAAAAAATGTAATTCAAAAATAACTTAGGAAGAAAAAGAATAGCTGCATGCCCCCAGTGCCATTTGTATTCAGCAACTTCTACCTGAGTGCGACTCTGTACTTCATTCCAAGCTTTTCAATCTCAGCCATCACACAGTCTGTGATCTGTGGAATACCTGGATTGAATGAAATTGCAGAAAAGAAAATATTAAATTGTAACATTGTGAAACACATATTTAAATAAAAAAAAGGTTATTATCCTCATTAATAATTAGTACTTACATTTTGCATACAGGCAATCCATCATAGATTGAACAATGTCCAGTTTGGCCTTGATGGAGAAGTTGATGAAATTGGTGTCGACTAGAATGTGGTACGGTGGACCAAGCTGAGTATTGTACTGGAAGAACAGGCACGATGGGTGCTTTGACCTGCATAAAACATGAAAAGAAATCAAATTAAGGAGCCATCTACCACAAGTCAGCATCCAACTGAAGTGTTTGTGTGGCCAACTTACACTTCTCTCTCCTTAAGCTCTGAGGGATCTTTCTTCTTTTTCTCTTTATCTTTAGCACGGTCTTTCTCTTTGCTACAAAACAAACAAAATAGTTAGTTCTTGCACAGATCTTTAAGATGCCCATATAACTACGACAGCTTTGTTTTGTTAAATGTGTTTGAGAGAATTAGCTGGAACAATACAAACACAGCTAACGAATAAGACAGTTAAACCAGGGTGACCTAAGATAGAAAACAGAAAGCAATTATTAAAACTCACATTCTTCGATCTTTCAGATTAATCATTCTCTTCATGGCAGCAAACTTCCTTGTTTTCTGCTTCCCCTACATTGAACAAGTTAAAACACACTTGGTTAGAACCAAGATTTCACAACCAATTGGTTTACAGCAGGAGTACACATTATTAAAGTGGTGTTAGTGGAGGATTTCAGTTTACCTCACAACATAATCTCCATATTGATTAAAACCGACTCACAGGACGTTGATTTATAGTAAAACAAAACCTTACTGTTATTATTTAAGCTGTTTTTTTTTAGATAGGAAACAATGTACAGTATTTAAAAAACAAACACTGAAAACCTAACTCAGGCTACAATTATGGTCGCAACATTTTAGGGAGACAACCGTCAGTCGAACTTTAAAAATACTGTGACAAAGACCTTGAGATTGTAAATGTTAGTTATGTATTTAGATGAATATCCCGTTCAGCAGCTGATGATTTTAGTGTAGCTGCGTTAACGTTTAGGCGCTAAGCTAGCTAAGTTAGCTCTGTGCCTTTGCCTGACAAAAAGGCTTCAAGTTCTAATTATATACAAAATAGCATACAGACGAACTACAATTATTAAGACGGTCATTGTGTAACTGTTACATAGCTAGAGCTTACATACCATGCTTTAAATTTGAGAGGACAGATCTCAAGTGGAACTCCTTGCCCTCGTGTACCGACCATAGACTGTAGATATCGACGCGTTAACTAGTGACGTAATCAAAACTCGACACCTTTTCTGCGCATTTTCCGGTTGCAGAGCTAACGTTAATGCCTGACAGACGAAGGTAGTCCAGTGTTTATTAGCCTAGATTAAGGACCTTTTTTGTTTTTTTACAGTTGCATGTTTGCTTTGTGGAGCTGTGCTATTGCAAGAGGCGTGTTATGAACGTATTGTGCTGTGAATCTTGATACGTATTGTGCTGTGAATCTTGATAACCGCCCTGGGTTTGCGACGGGCTTTCTGAAATTACGCTGACAATGTTGGCTAACTCGGCTAGCTGTTAGCTTTGTTGCAGTTGTTCACTAGTCAACTGATGCTACAGTAGCACTTAGCCGTCGGTACAACGGTTGAGAGTCGTTAACAGTAACGTTAGCCTCCAGCTTTACCTTGGGCTCCTGTCAATAGACCAGGTAAAATGGATGATATTGCGGTTAGACTGGTTATGTATCGCTCGCGGGGTTTTCTGTTTTTTAACGCTCACCAAGCAACTTTTTGAATAAGTTATTTAGTTAGCTGTTTCTAACCGTGGAAGCGGATGACATTTGGAAACATTTTTCACCTGAGCTAGCACGTGTAATGTTAGATAGTTTATCATTATCAGCAGCATCACCATCATCTGGACTGTTGTTGTTGGAGTGTAACGTTAACGCTAATTAGACTGTTACGTTAATTGACCTGGTTGACTTCGATTGCTTTTCCTGGCAAAAAAAGAGGATTGGCTAAAAGTGTTTTGACCATTCTTTAGCCAAGTTGTTCATGCATATTTCAGTACTGTGGATTACATGTAATGTTGTTCTCCCATCAGCCAACACTTTTCCAAGGTGACACTTAACATTAAATATTCATGCTTTCTTGGCAGAGCAGTTTATTTGGAAGATGCCAGGCTAGATAATAGTTTGCCGGGTGTTCCTCATTAGAATCCATTTGTTGAAAACTTTTGTTCTGTAATTTGGTGTAGCTGTTTTGAACCTAAGCAGTTTTGTCTTAAATTGTAGGAGACTTGACTAGCCCCCTGGTGAGTGACCGTTTTCCTTTGAGCACGGAGGGGTCTGGGTGAAGGCTGAAAGATGGTCTGATGGACCGCCGCTTCTTCTTGACTTTCCTCTTCTGCTCAGTGTTGTGGATCTTCTTCTGGGAAGTGCGCTGGAAGAAAGGGAAAGAAAGTCAAATTGTGGAATGGCTGCAACGACATCGCCTCTCTCAATACAGGCACTTGTTTGAAGGTCAGTGGGCTACAGTCATATTAATTTGAGATTTAC